GGCTGGTTCCAGAGAGCTCATCACACAGGCACACAGGGGCCCTAGAGAGAGAACTGCGTGGGTCAGGGGCTCAGGGGTGGGCTCGGTCGAAGTGAGCAGGAGAGACGGGGCCACAGCAAGTGGACTCCACGCATTCTCCCCGCTGCCACACAGGCGCTCAGAACTGCTGCTCCAGCACCCTGCTCCATCCAGCTCGGCCTCTCCTAGTGCCCGGCCCAAGAGGTGGGCAGCAGGCAGCCCTGGACGTCCCTCATCTGGCCACGCCACGCCCCTCACAGCCGCCTTCCCTGCCTGTCGCCCTGCAGAGCCGTCAGGCACCTAGGAGAGGGTGGGCTGCACAGCTCCACTGGGCCCCCTCGGCACCTGCAGGGCACCGCACTGGCGAAGGGGCACTTCCTCTGCACACCTCGCTTCCTGATGGGGAGGCCCGGGCTGAGAGGGCCTCGTCCTTCTGAAGAGAAGGCAGTGCACTGGCAGGTGCCCATGGGGAGGGTGACAGCAGCTCCCCACCCCAGTCCTCCTTTCCAGCCCACCTTGCCGGATGGAGAACCCCCTTCCCACAGCAGGCAGGAGACACTGAAGCATCTCTGCGGCCCCAGTCCCCTCCAAGTCCAGGTTACACTCCCCAAGTTGCCATGGCTGTGTTCTAAGATGCCCCTCTCTGGGCAGGCTGTTTCAGTTCCTCTTTGCTTAGGGTTGAGTGGTGTCCCCCAGATTCACATGTGGAAGTCCTGAGCCCAGTACCTCAGGGGTGCAACTACTGCAGAGGGGGCCTTCACAGAGGCACTCACTAAGGCAAGGCAGGAGGCAGGGCTGCGAGCCGATACTGGGCTGCCCCTAAAAAAGGGGGTCCAGAAGCAGGCAAAGAGGACAGGGCTGGGATGGCGCCAGAGACTCCAGCACCCTGCAGCTGGGAAGAGGCCTGGAGCCCACGCCCCCCTTCACTGGGAGGAAGCAGCCCTGGACCTCCAGAATCTCGCCCCATGGCAGCCCCAGTGCGCCCCCGCATCTTGGGATGTGCAAGGCTTGAGAAGCTCGTGAGCCCTCTCCCAGCAGCTGAAGGTCGGAGCTTCCGCGCCTGCAGCCGCCGCGCCCAATGGACCCCAGAGACCTCTGCCTTGTGATTGACCAGAAGCCCCGTGGCTTTTTGTGTTTGTTTTCTGCGCTCTCCTTGAACTGCTGTGAGAATAGGACCCTGCACTGACGCCTGCTGCTGACTCTTTCCTGCTGCTGGGGGGAATGAGCGCGAGCCCTCCACAGCCTCCGCCTTGGGGCCCTGCGGCTGCAACCCCACACCAGCCTAGGCCCTGCCTGCCCACCTGTCTGTCAGTCTGTCTCGCTCCTTCTGACTCTCTCTCTGTCTCTGTCTCTCTATTTCTGTCTGTCTGTCTGTGTGTCTCTGTTTATCTGTCTCTGTCTCTGGTGCTGTTTCTGCCTCTCCCCCCTCTCTGTCCGTCTGTCTGTTTCTGTCTCTGCCTCTCCCCTGACTCCTGTTCCTCCTCCCTCCCTCTCCCTCCCCGCCCCCCCATTGCCGGCTCTGCGTCCAAGGTTGGTCCCCAGCAGACGGGAGGCAGGAAGCAGGCGATGCTCTGTATCTAGGGCTCTGCGCCAGCATCAGCGGATGTAGCAGGACCATAATAAAGCCAGCTTGGCATTTAGGGCAAGGATCCAGGCAGGCAAAGGTCACTGTTTAATCAGGTTTAATCAACTCATACCAACCACCTCGGCACTACCTTTGCTCAGCCAAAAAGGGTCGGACCCTTGCTGCTGTCCCCGCGGCCAGGCTGCCGGCCCAGCCCCCACGCCGTTCTGCTGGAGGACAGCGCAGCCCGTTCCTAAGTGTGTGGCTGGAGGCTGGGGCACCGGAGGGCAACCCTCAGGGCAGACGCTCTGCTTCCTGCCTTGGTACAGGCTCCCCATGTGACCACGCAGTGTCACCGCCACACTAGTCACGGGTGCATTTGTGTGCGTTTCACGTCAGTAGCGAGACCCCCACCTGTGACCCCTCTTTCTTCTGGGAGGGTGGGACGAGGTGGGGCGGCGATCCTTCGTGGCTCTGCCTGCTGGTGCTGTGCAGCCTGTGCTGCTCTGCCCTGGCCCCCTCCCCACCGTCTCCACGGTTACCGGGACTCTCCTGCTGGCTAGGCCGTGCTGCTCCCTGACCCTGCCGTGGGGCTCCCTCCTCCTCCCCGGTGCCTGTGGGGTTCAGTGCCGGGAGAGGCCCTGGTGCACTGCAGACTGTGGGTGCCCCTCACCGTCTCCTGAAGCCCGAACCCCCTCCTAGAGATCCATGGACCCGACTATCTCCACCCTCAAGCCCTGTGAAGCCCTGTCCCTGCCAGACGGTGTAGGAGGTGGGAACCTGGGGAGGTGATGAGGATCAGGAATGGGACCTGTGCCCTCAAAAGCAGGCCCAGGGGCTCTGTCCCTCCCTCCCTCCCTCCCTCCCTGGGGATGCTCCCATCTGCCCCAGCCCACCCAGCCCCCTCAGCACACCTCGAACGGCCAGGTCTGGGCCTGGGACCTTGCCCGCTGGGATGCTGGGAGCGTGCAGAGCAGACAGTCGTCCCTTCTTCCTGCCAGGGTCTCATTCAGCCTGGAAGAGCAGGGCGGCTGTCAGGGAGCTGTGGGGAGCAGAGAGGCCACAGGGTGTGCCCCTGGGGAAGGCGCACTCGGGGCGCACAGCACAGAGGGGCGCTGCTCCCCAACGCGAGCAGGGGCTGCAAGCTGACAGCCCCTGAGGTCCCTGCTCTGCAGGCCTTGCCTCAGCAGCTGTGGGGAGAACCCACCCCTGACCCTAACCCAGGGGGCGCAGAGCCAGGGCAACTCACTCACCAGGCCCTTCAGGACGTCCTGGCTCTGGACTGGTGGCAGAGAGTAACCCGGAGTGCGGGGCACCAAGGCCAGAGGACTCTGCGTTCTTCCGTCCTGGAGCCAGGTGTGGAGCGCGGGGCTGCCAAGCTGGTCCAGGAAACCGCGATCCCACGCCATGGAGATTGGAGCCCCGGCTCCATGCGTGTGCGCCCTGATGCGTGAGTCCTGGGGCACAGAGAGACCCGTGTCTGACGACCAGAGGGGCAGAGGCGGGGTCCTGAGCGAGCAGCAGGGAGCGCAGGGGCAGGGCGAGGGACTAGGGCGGGAGGTCACCCAACAACAGGCCAGCCGAGCGCGCAGCACGTCGGGGGTGGGGCCCAGGGACGGGGAGGGGGCAGGGCCCCGGTCCCGCCGAGCCCAGGGTGCAGGCGGGGTGCGGGGAGTCTCGGGCTGCTCGCGCGCGTCCTGCAGTCTGCACCGCAGGGTTCCCGGGA